AGGAAGGAAGGAAGGAAGGAAGGGAGGGAGGGAGGGAGGAAGGAAGGAAGGAAGGAAGGAAGGGGGGCACAGCTGGACAGGCTCCCTTGGTAGACCCTGCCAGCTGGTCCTTGATTCTTCCTGCCCCAAAGTCCTTTTGTTTTGGCCCCCAAAGAAGCACCTGGATTTGGGGATTCCTGGTGGCTTCGTGGCCTCATCTAGGATGGTGTTGTTTTTCACAGCGAGTGGCAGGGAGGTGATGGGCCCATTCTGGAAACCCTTCCAGCCAGCCTCATTAGTCTAATTTGATTTGACATTCCGAGAATTTCTAGCAGATGGCGAGGGAGATCCGATTGCCACAATTGCTTGGCAGGCCCAGCTGTATGCAAGGCATCCCCCCCTCCCCACAATTAGCCTCCAGGAAGGTGGCGCTCTGCTTGGGCTGTTGGGGAAATCATCAGAACAACCTGGGGGTGTCTGTCCCGGACCACCCCCCTCTATCCTCCCTCCCTTGACTGATGCTCCACAGGGTGCAAGAGCAGAGGGGGTCCCCATTCATCCCATGCCCATCTCACCCCTCCGTTCCTTTCCTTTGGCCAGGAGCCCCATCTAGATCAGGGGGAGGGGGCCTCAATGGGGAGGGGGCTGAGCAGACCTTTGGACGACCCCATGGACAGGAGTGGGTGGGCGGGAGTTGGGGGACCATCCCCAAGACTGACGTGAAAGGACTTGGCCGTCAATTGCCAACCTCTTTCTCCTCCCTTCTAAATCCCAGAGTTGGGGACAGGATTTGCAGTGTCCACGCAATTGACGTTTCTTTTTTAAAGTCAATTTCTCCCAAAAGCTAAAGCAAAAGGATAGGATGATTTGGGGCCCTCCCTTCTTCTCAGATGTCGCCTGTGGCACAAGGGGGGGGGGTTTGTCGCACGCTCAGCCAGATGTTCAGACTGGAGGTGGCGTTTTTAATCCACCTGTGGAGTCTTTTCCCAAGGACCCGGGATGGGCAGATGTGGCGGTTTGATGGTGTCGAAGGCATCGTTGTAGGATGTCAGCTGTTCCCGTTGCAATTAACGGGTGGGGATTTTGTCAATGCCGACGGTGTTTATTATAAAGCCAGATTGTTATTATTAGAATTTGCCTTGTTAGCACGTTGGAAAGCCGAGGGAGGAAACCCTGCTGGCTGGGGATGATGGGAGTGGTAGTTCAGCACCTCAGTCCAGTCCAGATGGATCCCTGGATTAACTTGGTCTTCTTTCAGGTTCAAGATTGAGAAATCAGAGCTGGGGAGTTGAGGCGACTCTTCCCCAGCTGTGTAGGTAACTCACCTTGGCAAACTGAAACTCGAAGGTGGGTTGGCAGTGCCATCTCTTTCTTCCCCTTGCCGGGCCAGAAAGAGGCACATCCAACAAGTCTCCTTGTGCCAAGTCTGGCCTCGTCAATGGAAAGAGCCGTCGGGATGCAAGCGAGCGTGCTTTGAACTCCCATCCAGGCACTAGCAAAGCCAGCTTGTCACGCTGATGGAGGGTTCCCTCGCAGGCAGTGCAAATTTTGGTGGGAGGAGGGAGGCTGTGCGGGGGTTGGAGAATCCTGAAGCTTTCGGATGGGGTCTCGTAGGTCTTACAAGAATTTTTTTTTAAAGGCAGAATCTGAAAAAACAGCCTGGGAATCCTCCCCCAGGCCCAGTTGGTGCTGAGAATTGTTGCTCTGGATCCCCCCCCTTTGGCCCAGATTTCCCCATGACTCCCTGACTCAAGATCTGGGGCGCGTCTGCCCCTCCCTTCCTCCCAAAGGGTGGGTTCTAACGTTTCTTCTCCTCTCACCAGCAAAGTACATCGGCTGTTATGTCGACAACACCCACCAGAGAGCCCTCCGCGGAGTATCCTTCTTTGACTACAAAAAAATGACATTGTTCCGTTGCCAGGACAACTGCGCCGAACGGTAGGGTGCAAAAAGACACCAGGACTTCATTAACTCCAGGCATCGAGTGGAGCGTTTCCTTCTTTTGGGGATTGGCAGTTTCAGGTTCCCCCTGGGACTCTTTGCCATAAGGGCAGCCGGCCCAGGTCTTGGCCAAGGACTACACTTGGAGTCCTGTGGCAACGACTGCCTGGTGTTTCAGGACCAGGGAGAGTTCCCGGGGAAGGCAGGCGTTGCTCCGTTCCATTTTATCAATTGTGAGGAAGGTCTTGATGCCTCGGGGGTTGCCTTGCGTTGGATGGTTGGGGAGGGGGGGAAGCGAAGGACATGACGCCAAATGGTTGGAGCCAAATCATGCTGAATTGAGGTCATCAGGGAGACCTTTTTGTAATTGGAGGGTGGGACAGAGGAAAAAAGAAACACTAAGCCCTACACAAAACATTCCAGGTTGTCTCCTTCCCTGAAGAACATCCATGGATTTCCTTCTCCTCCAATTTCTTGACCCACAAATACTTCGCAATTCTGCTCTGGGGCAGAACTTCCTTCTCTGACTGCTCCCAGCTGGAGATTTTCCCCTTAGTTCTTGCTTCAAAAGAGAACAGCAGTGGCAAAACACACATATCACTACCCCTGTAGACAACATCGCACTATCCAGCCAGACATGGCTGTCTACAATCCATATGGGGATGGGATCCTTTCCTTTTGGGAAATATCGTATTTTTCAGACTATAAGACGCACCAGACTATAAGATGCACCAAGATTTTGAAGAGGTAAATTTAAAAAAAGGTTTTGCACTCTGCAGGCCTCCCAAACCCTCTGCACGCCTCGTTTTTGTGAAAAATGGGGCATGCAGAGAGTTTGAGAGGCCCGCAAAGTGCTCCTGGGGGCTGGGGGGGCAAAAACGAGCAGAAACCAGCCTGTTTTTTGCTTGTGTTTGCCCTCCCCAGCCCCCAGGAGCACTTTGTGAGCCTCCCAAACTTTCTGCACGTCCATTTTTGCAAAAAACAGGATGCATGGGGGGTTCGGGAGACTAAAAATGCTGTATTCAGTGTATAAGACGCACCCAGATTTTCACCCTCTTTTTTTAGGGGAAAAGGTGCGTCTTATACTCCAAAAAATATGGTAGGTGTTTTTCTACCTGTCTGGAGTAAATCTTGTGATCAGGAGTCACATTTGACAAAGGCAACAAATTTGCGTTTCCCTCCCAACTTGAGAGGAAGGGTAGAGGCCACTTTGATTCTCTCTACTTTTTGAATTTATTCCTCGTCAAGCTAATGGTCGGGGAGGCAAATGATGAGATGCAGTTAAAGCTGAAAGGTGATGAGGACAGTGCTCAGAAGCCCATCCTGGTTTGGTCCCTGTAAATCTCTGCGCAGTTGCTCAGAATCCCTCAAGTGAATTCAACTAACCCAGTTAGTGCACAATGGTGACGCGTCCCATGCCCGTCGTTCAGGACTTCAGCCGCTGTGTAAAGTCATTGTCTGGGGAGGGACGTTCGGCCTCTGCGCCTGGGGGATTCCCACATTCAGGGTTCCCACCTTCATCTGTGGCAGGGGCTACCTCTTCGCGGGGCTGGAGTTCGGGGCGGAGTGCTACTGTGGGCACAAGATCCTGGCGGAGAACGTGAGTGACTCCCAGTGCAACATGGAGTGTAAAGGAGAGAAGAGCAGCTTTTGTGGAGGACCCAACCGCCTGTCTATCTACCGCCTGGATCTGGCCCAGGAATCCACCAGGAGGTGTGAGTGCGGCCTTCGCTTCTGAGGGCCTTGGCACCGCGTCGTTCCTTGGGCGGACTGGATGGGCGGGAGGAGGAAGGGTCTTGTGCCCAGAGCATCTTTGGGATCCCTCTCTCTCTCTCTGAATTCTAGCGAAGAAACCTCCCTCTGCTTCTCTCCCCAGATGGCAGCGCCATCTTCCGCGGCTGCTTCCGACGGCCAGAAAACCTCTCCTTGGCTTTGTTGGCAAGCAGGCCTATGAAGAACATGTCTGTGGACCGGTGTGTTGACTTCTGCACAGGAAAGGTGAGCAGAAAGGGGGTCGCCTTGCGCCCCAAAGACTGGCAGAAGGACGTGGCACGAGGCCCCTGGGCTGGACCACTAGGTCCATAAGCCTCCACTCTTCCTGGGTACCAATGCAGGCTCCGTAGAGGCATCCTTTGGCCTCTTGGGTGAGGGAGCATCTCATCTCTAAGGGCTGCCCGGGAGGCTAGCAGATAACACGGGTTGGGCATGGGGGGAGCCCCGCAGGGCAGTGCCCCTTCCCATGGTCTGCACGAGAGTGCCAGGACCTCTGCACCCACCCTTCCCCTTTGGTTGAGCCGAGGTGGCGCAGTGGTTAGGGTGCAGTACTGCAGGCCACTTCAGCTGACTGCTATCTGCAGTTCGGTGGTTCAAATCTCACCGGCTCAAGGTTGACTCAGCCTTCCATCCTTCCGAGGTGGGTGAAATGAGGACCCAGATTGTTGTTGGGGGCGATATGCTGACTCTGTAAAC